TCTAACTCACTATCACTGTTTTCTAGCTGGTCTAAAACCACTTTTGACCTACAGGGACGCTTTTTGGATGCCATGGATGTTCTCAAGTTTCCAGGCAGAAAGAACGGTAAAAGTGCAGGCAGGGCACAGGACAAAGCACTTGGGACAAAACTGAGGTGAAATGGTTTGATACAGTAATGGAATCCTAACAGATTACAATGTATTGTGTGTATTTCATGTTTTTACTTTTTTAATCTCCCACCGGTTCTGCCCCCCTGCGTCGCGGCACTCGCAGGGAAGGGAACCCAGAAGATGGATGCCAGCATTGGTCGGAGGACACAGTAGGAGGACATCGGCCAGGGACACAGTGGGAGGAGGAGGACATCGGCCGGAGGACACAGTGGGAGGACATCGGCCGGAGCATCACAGTGGGAGGACATCGGCCGGAGCACACAGTGGGGACATCGGCCGGAGGACACAGTGGGAGGACATCGGCCGGAGCACACAGTGGGAGGACATCAGTGGGAGGACATCGGGAGCACACCGTGGGAGGACATCGGCCGGAGTGGGAGGACATCGGCCGGAGGACACCGTGGGAGGACATCGGCCGGAGGACACCGTGGGAGGACATCGGCCGGAGACACCGTGGGAGGACATCGCCGGGGGAAGGTGGGAACATCGCTACACTACACGGCCGGACACACATCGGCCGGACAGTGTAATTGGAGGACATCTGAGTGTACAGTGTAATTCTTGTGGCTCGGGGTTACCACTTTTGGTACTGAAAATTAACCCCGAGCTACACTCGGGATTACCACCAGAGAGGTTAAAAGTGATTTGCATTTATACTAATGAGAGGACACTGGATGTGCTATGTGTCCAGAAAGACATCCTCGGAGTACAGAGGATATATGTAGAACACCCAGTCATTCTGCCCTTTTGCCATGTCCCCCCCCCCCATCCCAATTTCCAGCAAAGCTCGGAGTTGCTGTGTAGATACAGAATTTTCCACTGTCAAAAAAGACTCCTCTGACTTTATCAACATCATTCAGACGTGAAATAGAGGGATACAAATTAGCATTGTTAAGCTGGCTATAGATGGGTAAAATTTTAAACAAAAAGAATATCCTAAGAAAATTTGTTTTTCTAATCATTGCTGTGTCTAACTGACATTTGTTTTTGACCGCTGTGACAAGAAAATTTGAAGGAGCAGGATGGAAAATTGTTCTTGAACAAAAACATGTCTAACAGTGTACATGGTTTTCATTTGGTAAAGTCCATTAATTCCAAAATCAAATGTTATAAGCAAACTAAGTCTTTCAATTTACATTTGAAAGTTCTGAAAATTTTTCCTTAAAAATTTCTTAAGAATTTTTTTTTTTTTTTTTTTAATTCTATCTATATCTAGCTTTACTTTTGTGTCCACTGTTTCATTCACCTGTAGATCGAAGGGATGAATGTCAGTCTGTAGATGCTCTCAGTTAAATCAAAATTAAAACTATTTGTTTTTTAAAAGGTAGGATAGGGTTTTTATGACAGACAAGACTTATTTGTCTCTTTAGTCATAAATTCTTCACCCAACCTGTCAGTGGTAATGTACACTGAGCCACACGTGACATGTCCAAGTGCTGATAGCACAGCACTGGAGGACATCATTTGACAGGTAAGTCTGTCATAACGTGCTAATATTCTTATGGCATTAACATGTACATACAAACACTTGCGCGCACACACATACATACATATATACATACATACACTTACGCACACAGATTCTACACACAGGCACATGTATATATACATACACACAGATACATACACACACACACGTACATACACACACACACACACAGATACATACACACACACACATACAATACACACAGACAGACAGACACACATACATACACACACACACACACATACACACACACGTACGCACATACACACACAGATACATACACACACAGCTCTTTGAAAAGTTGCAGTACTTCATTATCTTCATATCCGCCATAATTTCCACTCACCAATGCGAGCAGGCGAGTGCAAATTTGAAGGCCTGCCCTACCCGCTCCTTGGACTGTCGGCTTGTTAAGCAACATATGAATTTTGATCTAGTGTATGTACGGCAGTGTGATTGAGTGGGTATGCTGGGTCCGGGCTCTTGTGATTCAAGGCGATAACGTAATCAGATCTTGTTTTTAATGGTGATTGGAGGATTGTAGGTCATATTGACCAATTTTATAATATTTTTTAATCTCAATAAATCTATTTATGTTTGGTTACACTGCTGTCCTCCGTTTAAAGCCTCTTACGGGGTGGCCTCTCTTGGTTTCTCTTATGTTTTCTATAGTATTTGCAACTGTTGTACCTTTTTCAAAAATTGCAATAAAAACCTATTGAAACTAAAAAAAAAAGTTTATTTTTGAAAGACAATATGTTTATCTTTTAAAAAAAAACTTTTCTTTAACTTGTATTTCTTTATCATCTTAACTGCTTCCCGCCTATTCTGGAGCCTCTTTAAACAGTTCCTCATGTACACTTTAGAGAATCATGTACAGAGAGAAGCATGCAGGCTGCCATCACTGACCTCTGCTTGTTTCTGAACCCTCATACAGGCTGTCTAAAAAGTCAGCCACTAACACAGTAATAAAGCCAGACAGCCAGGCAACTAAAATTTTCAAAATGTATCCTGGTAGGTCAGTTGGCTCTTATCTAAATTGCTTATACATGAAAGATGGAATCTAACAGACCTTAGAATTTGAGCTCTTTCATGAAAGGGACTGATGTGAATGTACAGTATGTAAAGCGCAGTGTAAAAATTGTTGGCAACATTTTTACAGTAGTTCTGTAATACTCATGATACAACCTGGATCACCAAAGACAGACTCTAGTCATCCCAGAAAAGTCCCAGGGACTTATAGGAAGAAACCCTTAATGCATCAATGTGGTGGGTTGTAGAAAAAACTGTTTATTCAGGTTTAAAATGTTCTGAAATGAATCAATATTGAGCAACATACAATGATAATGTACAAAAATAAAAGTACCTAATTTGCAGAATTCCCTGCAGAGTTTCCTAGTAGCAAAGTTGTTTTTATTTCCTCCACAACCGCTATAGATGAATTCTTCGCATCTATCCGTATTTTTTATAGAAAAAAACGATCGACCCGACCCTTACACGGACCCCTCTCTTCAGCTAAATTACAGATTGGATCTGGAAAATACAAAAACACCTGAATGTCACCAACATAAAAAGAGATAATGGATGATAAACAACAAAACTGTTGGAACCAAACCTTACAGAAAAAGTGTAATCAGGGTTGGGTATACTATTATACAGAAGGCCTGAGCTCATACTTCCAACTGTTCAGGTTTTGCAGGTCTGTATTGTGATTTGAGATACATTTTATATGTAAACTATAATATTTACTACTGACAAGACTGTGTCAGGATGTCCCTGATTTTTTTAAATGCTGAAGTTGGGAGGTTTTACCCCCACATAGGCCATACATTTTTCTCCTAACCAAAGAAATTACACATTTCCCATATCAATATAAAGCCGTGATCAAGAAAAGAGGACCATACCTCAAACTAGTAGGAGGAAATTTAAAGGATATCATTAGGAAGGATTAGGTTGAGCCAGTCAACAGTGAATTTAAACATACTTGAGACAGACTTGGAACAGACATTTGAGGTCTATACTAAAAAAAAAAAAAAGAAAGCTAAAAAGAGTGGTCTTTTTTGCCTTCACTCCTCTGTAATTTGTCATTTATACTGTATGCTGTCACAAAAATTTCTATGAGAAGTTATGACCAGTGGAACAAAGTTTCAGATCAAAGATGGAAATCCATCTCTATGTGTAACAAATTCCTATTCATGAACAGGATTATGAAAACTACCTCATATTAATAGTTCATCAGTAAACTAAGGTACAAACACAACAAAGATAAAGAGGCAGGATAGCTAGAAATTAATGAGGAAGGATATAAAAAAAAAATAATAATAATAAATGTACCACACACACACAAAGTGGGGAGGATACATACAAGGATACTGTAGGATGTCCCCTCAATTCCAGAACTGGTGAACTTTTCCCTCACTTTCAGTCTTGGTGACAATGGTCACAAGACTAAATCAAGAGGGTGAATCTACAACAGAGACATAGACAACAATACAAACCTAATAAGGATTCTAAGTTTACACTCAAAATAAAGGAAAAAAATGGATTTTAGACACAAATAGAAAGTTTTGCTGAGCTCATTTCAAATACTTGTGAAACCATACTGCAATATAAGGGACCCTTGTGTATTTATAAGCATTACTATGCCAAACTGACCTTTAGCTGCAGAAGTGAGCTGAATCATCAAGAGAGTGGTGGCAATCACCGCAAGGATCATTGTGGTTTTCATGTTGTAGTCTGGTGTCTTGGTCACCACAATGAAGAGTTGGAGTTGCTCTGTAAACTGTGCATGATGCCAGATTCCTGCTGGATATTTATAGAAAGAGAAGAGACCCCACCCACAGCTGGACTGGTCAGGTCAGTTGGTTTGCCCCAGAGGGTGATCTTGACACATCTGCTGGGTTGGAGGTTCTCTTTCTTGTCATACCAGGACAAACTGTCCTTGTTTTTGTCTCCTTCTGCTTTTGTTTGAGAATTAATAATCTGACATGGACATGAAGAATTGAACACTGCCATGGGGGACATGTAAAATGCAAAAATAAAATACAGTTCATCGGGTTAAAGGTTTTCTTGTGTGGCTTAAAGTACAACATTAAAAATACACAAGGCAAGCTATTGTTGAAAAAAGGGCATGGGAACCTGGGCACTGTCCTGGGTATGAGAGTTGGGAGAGGGATTATTTTTTTATTTGGTTTAAAGCACTGATGGGCACTGATAGGTGGCACTAATGGGCACTGATGAGGAGGCACTGGTAGTTGGCACTGATGGGCATTGACAGGCATCACTGATGGGCACTGAAAGACAGCACTGATACATGGCACTGATAGGCAGCACTGACTGGCACTGACTGGCGGCACTGACTGGTTGCACTGACTGGCACTGTTAGGTGGCACTGACAGGCAGTGATAGGTGGCACTGATAGGCAGCACTGACTGGCACTGGCATTGATAGGTGGCACTGACTGGCACTGATGGGTGACACTGAAAGGCAGCTCAGATGGGCACTGATATGTGGCACTGATGGACACTGGCAGGAGGCACTGATGAGCACTGACATAAGGCACTGATGAGCACTGACAGGTGGCACTTCTGGGGCTACACTGATCATCAGGGCACACTGATCATCAGTGCCCTGATGATCAGTGTACATGTCCCCTGCGCGGAAAGCCGATTATCGGCTCTCCTCTCCTCTCGAGCTGTCAGCGTGACAGTTCGAGAGGAGAGAAATGCCGATAACCGGCCTTTCCCTGTTTACATGTGATCAGCTGTGATTGGACACAGCTGATCACATGACTGAGCCGACATCTTTGGCTCTTTCCGTGATCGGTGATCCACTGTGTCCGAGGGACACAGAGCACCACCGATCACCACGCTGTGTGCTCCCTGAGCCGTGCATGCGCAGTGAAAATGGGAGGATGTCATATGACGTCCTCCCAGAACAAGAGAACCACCTTGCGCCCGTCATATTACTATATGGTGGGCGGGAGGTGGTTAAAAAGCATCACTGAAAATACAAAAATTCTTTAACCTTTTTACTGCCAGGCCCTGTATTCCACTTTTAAACTCAGGTGGACAGACCATTTCTGCTGTTTTTCCATTGTATTGTTTTTAACTTACAGCTTTCACAGTTTGTAAAAGACCCCACAAAACCATACATTTTATGAACGCACATGACCAGTAGAATAAAAAGAAGGGGCTAATGATTATTTTAGGCCCTGGGATGTCTGTTCAATTCTGTATTTTCAGTTAAAATACATTAAAATCAATATTAGGGAATACATACATGGCAAAACTTACAGAAACTGCTAAATTCCCAATAAATATAAAAGCTAAAACTATATTGAATTAATAAATAACACATATTTGTAAACTTTAAATTTCACCATTTTGTGAAGTGGTGAAAACTGAAGGTGTGCAAGACAGTAAATAAAAAACTATTTACTCAAAATCTGGAGGTTATCATTTTTTCACCCTACAACTTTTGAGTTTGAAGCAGACCCCCAAAGCATACACTTTCTAAAAGCACATGACCCGTAGAATAAAAAAATGTGCTATTGATTTTTTTAGGCTCTTCCATAGTTGAGCAAATGTTTATCAACTCGCTATTTTTCACTATAAATACACTAATATCAATATTATTGGATACATATATGGAAAACTCTACTAAATTCATGCTAAGTTCATACTAAATATAAAAGCTTAAAAGTATATTGAGTTAATAAATAACAAATATTTGAAAAATTTAAGTTGCGCCTTTTTTTGAAATGGTAAAAACTGAAGATGAGCTACACTGTAAATAAGAACAATTTACTCAAAATCTGGAGGTTATTATTTTTCACTTACAGCTTTCAGAATTTGCAAACGTTCATACATATTCTGAAAGCACATGACCTGTAGAATTAAAAAAAAAAAAAGTTCTACTGATTTTTTAGGTCCTGCAATGGTTGTGCAAATGTTTATAAACTTGCTATTGTCACTAAAAAAATACACTGAAATCATTATTTTTTAGTGAAAACATTATGACTGACTGATGCGCTACTCAATAAAAATAATAAATAAAATATAACTATACCCGCACAGTGTGAAATAAAAAATATATAGCAAATGATAATAATATAAATATAAATTTGAATATGTGACCAAATACTAACTGGACTAAATTATTGTAGAAATAATTCACTCAATGCACATAAAACTAAGCCCACACAGTGTAAATAAAAGTGACAATACTGAACAAATAAATTTGTGACCAAATAAAGTGATCAATGGCACATAAAAATATATAAATAAATGTGAAGTGGCACGATAAAGTGTACAGTCCCCAATGAATCTGTAGGTCTTCAACAAAGGCCATGAAACATCCAGTGACCACTGCAAAAAACCCCACAAATCTTCTACCAGCTAAAGTGCACACTCACGCTCCAGGCTGCGACCCACAAGGGGTCATAAGGCTTTTGAATGCTCTCAAACGATGCTATCCCTGTGTGTCCCTTTGATAATATTCAGGGAAATCCTCTATGGGTGGAGATAGTAAGCACTCATAAGTGTACCAGCAGAAATGGCTCAGATGTCCCCTCACGGATATGGTCAAATACTCTCCTCTCCAATGTTGCCCCCACATGGAAAATTAAATAAAAAAACTCCCCATACACATAGTGTTAGTAGGTAAACATTTATTGATAAAAAAGGCAGAGTGACTACTCATATTAAAAACAGGGTCCTCAGACCCATACAGGCAGGAAAAACTGCAATGCAGAGAGGTGTATTGCAGTCCTGTACCGGAAATTACGTCACCTTTTACCATCCTACGCTTTGCATCACGGGAATCGCATGACTTCCTCAGGGAATTGATCACTTTATTGGGTCACCATTCGAAAGGTACGCACCTTCAGGCCTTTCAAAGTTGGTCATTGGATTTCAGGTTCCTTCCTATTGTGGTTAGGCTCCCAAACAGTCTCAAACATGGTATCACCTTTACTCAGTAGAAGTAACAGAATGTATTTTGGGGTGTAGTTCCACATATACCCATGGCTTGTGTGAGAAATTAATTTAAATGACCAACTTTGTATTATGTGTGTATTATATTTATATATTATGTATTGTATGTTTATTATGTAAGTATATGTGTGTGTATCGTATACATTATATGTTTTTGTAATTTTCCAGAAAACTTGTGGAAAAAAAAAAAATCTTTCTTGGACTCAATATGCCTCTCAGCTGATAGCTTAAAGGTGTCTACTTTCCAAAAAAGGGGTCATTCGTTGGTGTTTGGTTTGTACTATCCTGGTATTTCTAGCCAAACCTCAAGAGACATATGTACCTAAGCAGTTCAGATAACCTTAATAAGCTGTGTAAATATTCCTGTCGGGGATAGTCGAGCCGCTGGTCCCGGCGCAAGGCGCAGTTACACCTCCCTGTAAGCCCGTGCGCCGGGGGACTTGGGCCGACCGCGGCAATTCAGGTTCGCGCTCATGCGCTGTAGTGATCGCGGCGGAGCGGGGGGCCCGTGGGGGGGGGAGGCGGTCGCTATTCGCTGTGGGCGTGTGGGGAGCGCGCGCTGGCACCATATTACAGCGCAGGGCGGGATATTTAAACGGCCCTGAGCTGTCATTCAGTGCCGTTTGGTTCGTTTGTATCCTGTGAACCTGTGAACCTGTTCTGAAAGTAAAGTTGCTGACCCGGATTGTTGCCATGACCTTGCTGTTTGTCTTCTGTTTGGACCCCATGCTTGCCTGACCTCATCTCCCTGTATGCCCCCCTATTGGATCCGGACGCTGCTGTCTGCTGAACCTGGCGTTGTGACCCGACCTATTCTCTGCCCGCTGCTCTGTACAGCACTGTCCCCATAGTTACCGACCAAGCTTGTATGGTCCCTGCTCCTGCTCAGCCATCCAATCCATCCATCCATCCGTCCCTCTCTACGGGGATCTCCAGACCTCCTCATAAACCTGGCTCTCTCCCGTGGGATCCATGGCGATTACCCCTACCACTGTACGGGTGTCCTTCTGTAGTCACGACCTGGTCCTGGGGTACTCCAAAGACCATCCCCTCCATCAAGGGGCACTGGCGAACATAGTACCCTGTGGGATTAGATTCCGTTGCGCTGGGAAACATCCGACCTGTGGAGTGATGTAGTGGGTTACCGCCGGGCGGTCCCTTTACAGTACCATATGGCCAGGACTGAGCCTTGAGGAGGGCCCTCCCCGTTATGAAGGAAATTTTGCAGGCACATAGCTACTCTTGACGCAGGCCGTATCGGTCCTGCAGGTCAGATGCATTGCAGCTGGAGAATCGCAATCCTGAATGGCTCGCTATTTCTTGATCCTGCCCCACAGGCCCCGGTTTCTGCACCCCCGGCCCTGGTAGATCTGGAGCCAAGACTCAGGGGCTTCCGACCCGCTTCCTATGGTAGAACCCGAGGTACCCCTACCGGAGCGTTTTCTCGGGGACCGCACACGGCTTTCCGGTCATTACGCGGACTCCTGTTTCTTGTTTCATTGAGCTACAAACCCCCCGTGACCTTCCTGACCGGAAAACGATGAAGGTAGGATTCATTTATTTCACTACTTTACAGGGTGGAACCCCAGGATTGGAGCCAACGGCTAAGGGGAACACAATGTTCCTCACCTGGGATCAGGTCATATAGTTTCTTTGATGCAGCAATGGCCATCTTGTATGATAGACCCACAGAGGGCAGCCTCTGCCGAAGCGTCCTTTTTTGCGCTCCGTCAGAGGCTGGCGGGCGGCAGAGGAATACGCCTCTGTTTTCAGGCGGTGGAATGGGGGGACACACGCTGGAACGAGTTCGCTCTATTGCACCTGTTTCCGTATGGGACTCTACGATCCCTTGAAAGATGAGCTGGCCCGGGATGGAGGTTCCCCGCGTCTCTAGAAGGACCTTATTTGCCCTGACAATTAAGATTGACCGTAGGACTGCAGGGAACGCAGGATTGAGAGGTCCGGCCAGGGTCGCGAAAATTCCTGGGGTCCACTTACTAGGACCCCAGCCCACCAACCCGACATATAGCATCCAGAAACCACCACCAGGAGATTGTTCTGGGAACCTCATGCAGCTTGGTTCTGGCTCGGCCTAAAATTATCAACCGGAGGGGGAGAGGAGAGAGTGGGAGGAACGCACAGCGCAGACGAGCCAAGAAACCTCTGCCTTTACTGCGGTGAAGCGTGGTTCATTATGGTGCGATCCTGCCCTCAAAAAATGAGTAAGTGCAACCCGTGTTTCTTCCTTTGTCTATATAGCAATACCTGTCCCTTCGCAATACTTATTAGTGCCTCTCTCCTTTCAGCTTCCAGGTAAGTTCGTGGAGGGTGGACAGCCATAGTTGATTCGGGGGCATGCAGCTGTTTCTTGGATCTAGAGTTTGCCTCACCAACAGGGTATCCCTCTACAACACAGGACTGAAGGGCTTCATCATCTTTTTTGGCTGATGGTTCCAGATAAAATCGAGGGGTAGTTTAATCAGGAAACTCCCCCCATTTGCCACTATCAATGCCAACCAGACCGGAGTTCCTCCACTGGACGCTATTGCATCACCTCTTTTCCCCAGTCTCATTTGGTGCTCCCATGGTTACGGCCCCATACCCCCAGTTTTGCGGGGAGACCGGGTCAATCTCGTTCCCTTTTTCCCCCCATATTTTCGGGAACATTGTCGCACTTCGGGGCCCCGCGGGGCCCCAGTTCCCCCTTTGCTCCAAGGAGACTCCGACTTAAAACGGGTTATTCCCGCAGCCTATCAGGGGTTCCGGGGAGTGTTCATAACGGGGAGCCGACACTCTGCCCCCCCACCGCCCGTATGACTGTCCCCCCCGACCTT